TTCCACTTTTAATAATTGATAATATTTTTATGTAGTGTTATTTATCATGCCTCAAGACCAGATTTTAGGGCCTTATTGATACTAAGGCATTATATATGCATAGTTGATCTTAGATTTATAATATGAATTCAGTTTATCTGACAAAAACGTGACTATGGTTTCTTGTAAAAAGTTGTGAACAATAGGTTAAATGGTGGAGTCAGACGTCCTTGTGGTTACGGTTGTGCTAACCATCAAGGCTGGAGAAAATGCCATCATAAGTTACCCTCATTGATGGACTGAACTACGAGAACATCAATCTTTACTCGGTAAACATATGCCAGATGCCGAAGTCTGCCTTAGATGTCACTAACGAATTTGCGAAAATTGCGAATCGCTTGTCTGAATTTGGATCCAGATTAGACACAGCCTATGCAGATAGCGGTATTCAAGTAAGATCATCTACCAAAACGAGCCCACTATTCAAGACAGAGCGTAGTTGTCTGGGTGGTCTCATACAGTGGAGCGACTTGTGTTTTTGATAAGTGGACTGCGAGTGAAACATTTTCCCGATGTCAAAGCTATGGGAGGCGGGTCCTAAGTAGTCAGTGTAAGCGACAAATGGAAACTCAGCATAAACTAAGGAATTAAGTGCATTAAAAATATCATTATTTCTTCGTCCTTGTTGTAGTTTTGAATCAGAACTAATTACCGCATTCAAAATAAAAGGAAATAAGCAATTAAATAGGTCTTAATTTTTATCTATCCTGGATAGACTGTCATCTACAGTATTGCCGAAATGCACACATATTTATCTAAAATAGCATAATGAGAACACAGAACCAGACAAGCTGCTGTCGGGGATATGCTATAACTACTTCTAGATACTGGTTAATCAAGTCGGGAAAATAGTAAATAGGCCAAACCATGCATGTCAATTATGCAAATCTTGACTTTCCAGCTGGCATTTTGACAAAGCGCCACATTTGTTTGCATTGCGGAATTATGGTTAGGCATAAGAATTTGATTTGTATAGGATATCAATTGAATCGAGACTCCTGTTACGTGTGTCCATTTGATCTTAGTTCTTTATATTAAACGCCTTCGGCAAGTTATTTATGAAGGAATACCAAGGCCATAAAGATTTTGGGAATGAGCATTTATTCGGCCCCATTTACTACTTCAATTTAAGGCCGGTCAGCTCAGATGCACACTACTAAGGCTGCCACCTTAAGCAATCACGCACTTGAATGATATAGTTCTTTTGCAAGTAATATGCTTTTATCACTAAATTCTTTTAATAATCATTTTGCTCAACTTATGTCCATAATGGTAGCTTATTTTCGAATGTATCTTTCTATCACATTCGCCTTATATTTGGCTTCCAACTAAGTCTACACAAGGACGTACTTTATAACATTTCCTAGTTTTTAATTGTTTAAATTTCGGAATTGTGCTCAGACCAAAAATTCTAGGAAACCATATCTGTCCTTATACTCTCTGAAGTATGTATTCAGCATTATATATATATATATATATATATACTGAAG